AGCCATTACATATGCAAAATAATTGTTATGTCTTTTAGAATATAGAAGGCTCAAAATAAAAAACACTGCACGTGAATGCCAAGACAGCTAATACAACCCTAAAAAGACTTCAGAGAAATTAACTACTTAGAAAAGAAAGTGGTAGCAAGTTTGTTCTGCTCCATACTACTGCTAGTAAGTATACTTAGAGAGTGCTGTATAGTTTTAGGTTCCTCACTTTATAGGAACCCAGACTCACACAACGAACACAGAATAGGTGCTGAAGGGATCAGTCTAGCTTTGTGTAGTACCACTCAGCTGATGTAGGACAAGGGGGTGAGCCCTTGGCACAAGTTGAGGACAAATGCAAGACCTTTCTACTTAATGAAAAATAAAATTCAAAAGTATAACGAAAGAAGCAACCCAAATGTCAATGAGTGGATAAACACATTGTAGCATATCTGTTAAACAGAGTATTCTTTGTCCACAAAAAAGAATGAAATACCGATGCATTGTACAACATGGATAAACACAAGCTGACGTATTATAATTCCATTTATATGAACTATTCAGAATAGGTAAATCCACAGAGACAGAAAGCTGATTAGTGGGTAGGGGCTAGAAGGAGATGGGAATGGAGAATAACTGCTTAATGGGTATGGGTTTTCTTCTGGGTTGATGAAAACGTTTTGGAAATAGAGTTGCTGGTTGTACCACATTGTGAATGTACTAAATACCAATGTACTTTATCATTTTAAAATGTTTAACTTTGAGCTGGGGATTTAGCTCAGAGGTGCCATGCCTGCCTCGCAAGTTCAAGGTCCCGAGTTTGGTCCCCAGTGCCGGGAAAAAACAAAAAACAAAAAAAAAACGCTTAACTTTATATTATGTGAATTTCACCTCAGCAGAAAAAAAAGCATGAAAAAAAAGTTATATTAAAAAGCTAGTATCTGTAACTGTATATAGAATTTAGTAATCTTGCACCAAATAAGCAGATCAAAATCACAGAGTTCTAAAAGATAATTCATGGTAAAAAACTCCTTCCTGTACTGGAGAATTATCAATAACTACCTATAAATGTTTAAAGACTTGCTGATATAGTTTCCTTTCCTACACAATTCATGTTTGCTACCTTAAGAGACCACAATTATTTTCACGTGTCCTTCTTATGCAGAAACAAGACACTGCCCAGGTAGCTTGCAACATTCTCACCATTCCTAACCTACTCATCAAATCAATTTGTTTAGCTGTACATTTTGAAATGCTAACATATGAAGATTATAAGTTCATATATGGTATATGTATTATAAAAGATTTTAGTAATTTTACAATAGAGGATAATGTGAGAAACCCTAGTAGTGTCCCAGTAGGACTAGAAGTCATTTCACTGCTTTCCTCAGAAGTTGCCTTCAAGAAATTGAGTTAAATAAACAACTAAACAAAGGACTCCACCATAATGTTTCTGCCCCAGAGACTGTCAAATTTCACAAATGATTTCTACCATGACTCGGAGAGTCCCAGGTAGAGATTTTCTAAACCCCACATCAAGAATCGTAATTTTAATGAGAAAAAGTTTAGCTTGCTTTGAAATCTGAGTTCGACAATAAAAGATTAATTTTTTAAACTAAAGTTTTATTTTTGGGGAACTACTTAATACAGACTGTCTTGTGGTCTATTTCATATCCAAACACACTTGGTCATGTTAAAAGGCCAAAACTGGGCCGGGAATTTAGCTCAGTGGTTCCACTGCCTGCCTCACAAGCACAAGGTCCTGAGTTTGATCCCCGATACCAAAAAAAAACAACAAAAAAAACACCAAAATTAATCCTTAAAATAGACATTAAAATATTTATTGTCTAACTTGGGTAAGTCGTAGCTCTTAACCAGTGTGAAGAGGGTCCTATAAATAATTTAAATATGCACCAAATTTTTCATTTCTGTATTTAAAGGCACTACCTACATACCAGAGAATACTCAATAATCTAAAATAAATGGCAAATTGTATACTGTTAAATGCCTATGAGCATAAAATTTTTTTACTGACATATAAAAAACTTTAAAAGTAAACATGTTTAAAACTCTGAAAACAAAAGAGTCCCAGGTTTCTTCTCATAACTCTGGTAACATGAGCTAGAAGAGCCAGCTTTCACATTTCAAGTCATTTTTGGAAAGCACTCAAGTCAATGGCAACCCAGGACTAAATGAGAGTAGATTTATTATGTGAAGATGAGACTGGCACAGAGGCTAGTGCTTTATTATCACAAGCATGAAAAACTTAGTCCCCACTAGTCTAGTAGCAGGAATATATGGTGTTTTGTTCAAACAGATATTTACAAATGCCTATTTTTTCCAGATATCCATTTTATACAATCTACATGGTAAACTAGTTTTATAAATAAGGAACCATTCTTTCATTAATATGTCCCTAGGACCCAGTAATGTGCCTAGGAGTAGTGAGTGTTTAATAATTATTATATGTAAGTAATGTATTTTGAGACTCAGCAACTGAGAGATTAAGAACTAGAGGAACAAAATCTTGTGCAATAGACACTTTGGAAAACCCATTACAATGATTCTGAATATTGTAATACTGTAAACTGTTTTAGGAGCTTCTCTGGAAAGATGCATATTTTTCCTCCTACTAAAAAGTTCAGGACTCTCACAAATAGAATTAAGAAATTCCCCACTCATCAATAGAAACTCAAATGAAGTACAGAAGAGGGAGCTGAGCACCACTATGAGGAAGGACCTCATGAGGAATGACTAAGGACATCACTAACCAGGATGTTCAAAACTAGAGAGTCATGTCTTACCCAGTTCATCTATGGAATTTATGGGAAAAGTAGCTGACAACCTTGATAAACATCTGGAAAATGTTCCAGTTTTGAAAAGGACAAGGATAAGAAGAAAAAAACCCAAATCACTTTGAAATGCCTGTGCTGGTTGACTCATTTAAAAAGGATAAGAAATCATAAAAGATAATCTGATATATTAGATCACTACCAGCAACACCATCATACTTTACTTTTACCTTCTCTCAAGAATGGAATCATAAAACTGGCTGACTTTTTAAGAAATAATTCAATTTTCTCTGAACTTGATTTGATGAGTTAGATATTTAAAAAGTGTCACAGGCAGCATTACTTCATGAAGCAAGGTGATTCCCCTAGAGCCTATAACTGGTTTGATGAGTCACACTAAATATATACACGTTTGTTCTCTTTTTGTTCCTGCTGATGCAAGTCTTGAGATGAAACTGACGTAAAGAGAATTCACTACAGCAGCTAATTCTCAAAAGTTTTACATTAAAAAAAATCTACATTTTACTTTGCTAATTATCAAAGGTATATAAAAACAAGGCAAGGAAGATTTAATACTTATCAAACTGGTTAAAAGTAAATTAAGAATAATGTCCAAATGCTGGAAAGGCTATGTAAAAGTCGAATACTCATAAAGTATTAGTGATTAGTGTACAGCATAAACTGGGATAACCCATTAACAAAGTAATTTGGCAATATGAATCATGACTACATTGTACTTCGGTACTTTCATATGTACTGCTGATAAGAATTTATTCTAAAGAAATATTTCAAACAAAGAAAAAAATCATTTAACCATCATATATTTACCACAAATTTTCCAGAAAAGACACTGAAAAGTAGCCTAAAATGTCCAATGAGAAATATAGTTAAATTGTGTTCAAGACTTTTGGTACTGCAAATGAAGTAGCAACACAGAAAAATGCATGACAGAAGATAAACAAAATACAGAAGTATATTTTCATTGTGACTACAATCACTAAAATACACATATGGATTGATATGCAAAAGAATAAGGGAACTCTGGGAATACACAAGGGAAAACATGATGGTGGTAGCTCTTTGCATTCCTGACTTCCTGCCAAATTTTGTGAAATAATATGTTACCTTAAAATTAAATAAGAAGCCATTGGAATTTAAATTTTTTCTAAAATTAGCATAAATACTGATCATTTTCAGTGAAAAGATTTCAAGTCAAAACTTGGTTCTAGAACTATGGCTCTCTGCATGAGAGGTTCCCAAGTCTGAGCTGCCTCTTACCAAAAACCTTACAGATCCTTAGGCTGGATAAATTTGAAAAGTGAAGCACAGTCTAGCCCTGTATTGGTGAAGTAGACTGCATATTCGCATATTATAGCTTCTGAGATCTGCGATAAACTTAGTTTTGGCTAGCTCACCATTTGCAAAACAGTATTTGATCACAAACCCTTTCTGCTCAGAAGACCTGCAAACATTTTTCTCACCACAGTGTGGGAAACACTGCTTTGGTGGATGCTGCTCAAAGGTGGCAATAGAGAGAGGGCATCTTAATTACCAGGGATGTCTCTCCAGATTCTGTGCTCCCCAGCTGGGAGTCACTAATGGTAGCATGCCTCATCCTTTAGGTGTATGGACTAAGGTAAAGAAAAAGCTTGAGAACCACTGATCCACGCAGCTTCTTATAAACAATTTAGTCCCACTGAGGGGTCCTGATCAAGTTTGAAGATAATATCAGTGTCTACAAAGGAGTGGCATCTCTTCTTCTACAATTTTGAGGTTGCAACCAAAGAAATTTGAGCATAGCTGGGCTTCAGTTCACAAACTCAATTCTTTCCACAATTCTGGTTGTGAACCGAAGCGGAACAGAACTGAATTTCCCCATAAGGTCAACATTGAATCTAACCATTGAATTTGATTGGGTTCTTTTCCAATTCGGTTTGTAACCAGAATCGTGGAAAGAATCAAGTTTGTGAATCAAGATACCACTATAACCCAGGAGTTCCTCTTCTATATATAAATATAGCATTGTTTGTAACATGTCAAAAAATAAAGCATGTACCTTGAAGTCTGTATATTTAAAAATATATAGCTAGATACATAGTATATACAATAGCTATATATCTATATACGGGCAAATACATAATGTTTACTTCCTAGAACTAAGGGATGGAAAGTAGCCCTGTACCCTCTTTTGCATATTCTTTAGCATTAGTAGAGCATTACCTCTGGTCTAAGAACAGCTTTCATGCAGGCTGGACAAAGAGGCCCACTTCGGGAGAATTGAAGGGGAAGGTGCTGAGTTCGATTGCGACATGTTGGCTCCTCACACAGCAACCAGCCCTGGAGAGACAAAAGAGAAAACTTCAGTCTTATCATCATCAATAAACACAAATAATAAGCCCTTCTGTTATTAAGGGAAACTCATTTAATTCAAATCTTCCTTATAGTCTCTGCAATAGCTCCAGATACCTTACCCTCTGGATGTGTTAATGAGATTTATGTCCAAACCTATTCTCAAGAGTATAACCCCGAGAAAGGAATGACCTTCTCAATGGCTGAGTGGCTGTTGCCTAGTTACTTCATTGCTGCGCTCAGTTTCTTTCTCTGTAAAATGGGATTGCGGTAATGGTGTAATACATTTAAAGTGCTTAGGACTATTCTTGACATAAAAAACAATAAAGGCAAACAATTATTTCATTTAAAATTGAAACAGATTCTTCTATACATATTTTTTTGGAGGCATAAAACTGGCCAACTTGTTTTCAAGGACAACTTCAAAGGACCACGTTATTCCAGAGGTTTGAAATAGCCATTGTCCACTTTTCTATTCTTTAGGACCCTCTTCTCACTTTCCTTTTTCACTCTCCCTTCTTGTTCCTGTTTGAATTTTCACATAGTGATGCAATATTGTGTATCTATTGTCTTGAATCAGCATTACGTTCATTACAGTTTGGGGAGTGGGTTGAGACAGGGTCTCACTAGGTAGCTCAGGCTGTCCCTAAACTCGCTATGTAGCCCAGGATGGCCTTGGCCCAGGCAAATGTTGAACTTGCAGGGATCCACCTGCCTTAGCCTCCTGACGGCTGGGATCACAGGTGCGTGCCACTACGCCTGGCTTATATTCATTATAAAAGATACCTGTTAAACAAGGAAGATAAGACTTCAGAAACAGGGGAGACAGCACCAGGGCCCATGGGCTTTGGTGATGCCTGTGTTGCTACAGAGGTGTAGTAAGCATGAGGTAAGTGCAGGGTGAGGTGCTGGACTATACAGGTGAGCAAGGCGTGCTCCTTTGTCTCATGACATCACTACCTGTGGGGTCCTGAATAATGACCTGACTTACCTGTAAGTCTCAGAGCATACTGAGACAGAAACTGCTGAACTTGAAGAAAGGGGATATCTCACAAGGGGAGAAGGGTAGCAAAACAACTTAAGCAGAAAGAACAGCATATGCCTAAGAATGGAGGCTAGAAAGAGCCATGCTGTGATATGATTAGGAAAGGAGTCGTCAACAGGTATAACTTTGTTACCTACTTCTAGCCTGTCTTTTGCCTCTAGACAAGAGGAGTATAGACACAGGTGTTGCTTAATTATGGTAGGTTCTTTAGCCTACCAGGTAGTAGCATTTCTATGCAGTATTAATCCAAAGCTGAGGGATGCCCTCACCCCCTGCTGTGCTGCTTGACCTCATCCTTAGGATAGGAAGTAGCTACAATCCACCAAGAATTAGTTTTAGGAAATTATAATCTAAACAGGACTAAAAGTAATTCTGTATTGTTTAGCACTTACAGTTGGTACCACACAACTTGGTACTAACTATAAGTGTTAAACAATACAGAGAAGGATAAGGTCGTGTGTGAGACAAATTACTACAACCACAGTAAAAGACCAAGAACCAGAATAAAGAATGAATCAACAGTTCTGAGTCACTGACAACTGTTGGTTCCAATGCCTAGGCCTACTGACCACATCTTTTTGGAAGAGACATTTGTATTTGAATGTATCTGAAAACCTTAATGTATTTACAACTGACACATACAGTTTAATGTTGTATTTACATTTTCTTCAAAAAGATGTTAGGTTAAGAGTGCAGCTTAAAATACGCCCCTTAAAATGAAAGAAATGGGCTGAGGGTGTAGTTCAGTGGTAGAACATTTGCTAAGGCGGGGTGGGTGGGAGAGACAGACAGGCACAGACAGACAAGACACAGAGACAGAGATTAACTGGCCGGGGATTTAGCTCAGTGGTTTCGCCGCCTGCTGGGCAAGTGCAAGGACCCGAGTTTGATTCCTAGTACCAAAAAAAAAAAAAAAGAGACAGAGACTAACTTTGGTTTAGCCTGGTCAGTCATGAGAAATACAGTAGGAAAGAGTGGAGCTGTTAGCAGCAGCAAGTATTAAATTTTAAATGTAGTTTACAAACTACAGTGTTTATGAGATGAAACTAGTTGTTTCTAGAAAGTACCCATCTAGGCATATTAATAAAGAAACAGTTCCAGCAAACCATGTATGAAAAATGCAGGACGGGACCATTCCTTTATCACTCATTTGGGTTTGTTACATTATGTTTGGTATCAAACATGCACTGGGATATGCGGTCAGTTAACAATGCCAACCACAAAGGAAATGTAGATTATTCAACCTTAAGCAAAATAAGAAACAAGTAAGCAGACAGGTAACAACTACCATGTTTTGAAACAAGAAATTATTAAGTACCAGGACACAATTTAGAAGTTAAAATTGTTTTTTTTAATTTTTAAAACAATGCTCAAACAGCTAAAAATTCTTTTCAAATGTTTTTGAAAATTGATTCCATCAATTTACTACAACTTCACAACTCACTGGGTGAGTTGCCAACCAGGGAGATGCTAAGTTGTCATTTCACCTGTTTTTGAAAGCAAACATCCAACTCTATCTCTGACAGCGTTACTAACTAAATGTCCTTTCAAGTCACATAGAAAACAGATAATACAATTTGTCTAGACTTCCTACCAGTTACAATTAACATTAAAGAGGTCTTTTTTTCTTTGTCACCTCTCTATTCAGTGCTTATTTGGGTTTGTTTGTACTTACTATCTGTTAATCTCCCTTTACAAATGACAACAATAACTAGTGCTATTATGCATGGAAATTAAACATGCTGATAACTGTGTGAAGGGAACTGGGGCTGAAAAAAAATATTAGAAGGCTGTAGTTCTTTATGTCTCTTGTTTTATTTCGATAATTAAGCTTTTGGTCATGGTGTATTTTAAACAAAACTCTTCTATGGTGGAAATAAGTCCTAATCATAATCAATATATACTTTACTTCAATTCAATTTTGGCTAATACACTTTGGTTAACCCTTTGTTCACTCAAAAAATATTAACCAACTATGCTAAATCTAACTTCAAAGAAACATTTGTGTTGTCAAAAATAAATATCAGATCTTTGAAAGTATTTGATGATGGGGCAAATCATATCACTTACAAAGAGAAACTAACTTATTTTCATTTCCCATTCTGGGAAAAAACATACAGCCCAAGGCTACATTGACAAATTAATGGAAGAAGATTCTAACAACTTCCTTGGAAGACCAACCTATAAAAAGGTCTGGGTTTATCATAACAACCTTTAAAACTACTACATGGATGCCTGCCATCTAAATAGTCAATTTATTATGCAATACCACATGCAAATTGTCACAACCAACAGGAATAAGGTCATTTATTAAGTTTCCAGTTTACAAGTAAAGTTTCAAAAGAGGAGACACTAGACTCTCCCACAGCAAAACATGAAAAGCTTTATCACCTGTTGCTTTAATCTCAGCATCATTAATCCTTAAAGTCATTGTGTATGAAACGGTATCAAATACTCACTAGTTCTGATTGCTAAATTATATTTCAGAGGCCTCAACTGAAATGGTTTCTGTCTGCACATACTATAAAGGGACTGATTTCCATTTGTAACTGACTCATTCCTGGTAGTTGTACCTTAAACACAAACTGTGACTCATTTGTGTACATCTGTATTTTTGGAAGGATGCACACAAGCAGACATCATCTAGATCTGGAAATGTGGTGCACAGGAGGCCCTCTAAACATCTTTTGAACAAATGAACAAACAGAAGCAATAAAATAAAAATGCAGCCAGGCATGGTGGTACAAGGCTGTAATCCCAGAACTTGGGAAGATGAGGCAGGAAGATCGCTGCGAGTTCAGGCCATCCTGAACTAATAGCGAGACACTGTCTCAAAAAACCAAAAAACAAAAATGCAGTGAAGCAAGTTTATGAAAACTTCAGCCTAGAATTCAAAGGAGAAAAAATATTCACAGTAGTTTTTGTATTCTTCTGTCAAACCCATGGTGTGTCCTTCTCATTCCCAGCCAGTCACTAAATCTGTCCCCTGGCCTTTCCTGTATGGTCCCATCACCTCCAAGTCCACCCAAGCCCACACTGTTCTGTCACAGAAAGAAGCCTCCTTCCTGGTGCCTGACTTGCTCTCTCCCACACTCAATGTAAACAGTGGCCAAGTGTGGTTTCCCAGGGCTTCCCGTCCCATCCTCCAATCATATACCCTCCACAGACAGTTAAGAACAAATGCCTTGGCCTGGCTTTCAAATCTTTACAACCTCATCCTGTTCCCCCTTTTTCATCATTCTCAACACAAACTCTTTGCCGCAGCGGATTAGTTTCGCCACTGTCCTCACTACATTTTGCCTATATTCACCTCCTTGTCACTGCTCGTGCCACAGAATCTCTCCTCAAAAATGCCTGTTCCTTGAAGCGCAGTCCCATTCCTCTTCTCTGAATTTTCCCCAACTCACAGACTTCTCCCTTTATCTCACCTGACACCGAACACACACTGCTCTGCACTGTCCCTCAAACACTTTATTGTACCACTTTGTTTTACCTACCCAAATGGTCAATTTCTGGGCAATGACTGATCTGCTTTGGATTTGGTAGTGCTCTCCCTAGTGTCTAGCACCAAGGTTCATATTCAATGAAGAATGCAAAATTGAGGTTATGAAAAACTGCACTCCCATTTATTAGTGGGTAATTTTAAGTCACCAAATCCACTGAATCTTTCTCTGAGCCTGAGTTTCCTCATCTATAAAACAGGAGGTGATAATATTCATCACCCTTTAAGCTTGTTTAGAGGACCAAACAAGAAAACTCACAAAAATATTCAGTAATGTACTGAAGAACACTGCTGAGCTACAGCTGACAATACACTATAAAAGGTGTACTATTTTAACCAGGAAAGACCCTGGTCATTTTCCAGGAAGTTTTATTACAAAATGGAGAACTACAATAATGGATAAATGATGGGCTTAGGTGGAACCGTTTCTCAAATTGACTA